AAAAAAAAAAAAAAAAAAGGCAAGCACAAGACAACCATTGTGAAATGAGTGGTGTTGGAAATACAGAAGCAAAAATAGCATTGGGTTTTGGGAACAGAAACAAAACAATTTCAGTTGGTTGCTAACCCTTCTCATTAGGTTCCTGTATAGGTAGAATAGGTGTATTTGGGGGTAGAGGTGGAAGTAAGAAGCCCCTCAGTCTGGAACTGTATTTAATGTCTCAAAGACGACTGGGTTAGTTGTGTGGCCACTGCATTTAGGTTTATATCCGTCTTCAAAGTCTCTGCCTCCCAGATGTGTCCTGAGTCTGCCATTGCCTTAGCCCAAAGTGAGTCAGGAAAGCAAGCGAGCACGTCCTGAATGTGTGGCTGTCAAGGGCTTGGGGAATCTTGAGGGGTTGAGACAGTGGGTCCATCAGAGGGCAAAGATGAGTGGGAATCCAGGATTTGAAGGTTAGTTCTTCAGGTGAATGGTGACCAGTTAACATTACAATTAGAAGTGAAATTTCTGCCCAGGAGTAGATGCCAAGCAGTTATGAAGCTTAACCTCCCCCAAGAAAAGTTGGGCATTGTGGTGTTTAAGAGATACAGAAATAGTTTTCATTATTTTACATTTTTATTTAGTATTAATAATAGTAGTAGTAGTAATAATTTTTTCCAGTACCAGGAATTGAACTCAGGACCTTGCGCTTGCCAGGCATGTGTGGTGCCACTGATCTACATCCCCCGCCCTAATACTGATTTTTTGTGACAAGGTCTGTGTCCCGTCTGGCCTTGAACTGGTTATGTAGCTCCAGCTGGCCTCCAAATCACCATACTCCATGCCTCAGCTGCCCAAGTACTGAGATTGCTGATGGATGCCACCATATCTGGCTCAGAAAGAAGATTTTAAAGGAAGAAATCATGTGGCAAATAATCCAACGACACTACAGAGATAGTTTGTGTACTTGAGGAATTTGTTGGGAAATTTGAGGTGTTGGCAGGAGAACAGGTGTCTCCTATGTTCAGCAGAAAAGAGGCGGGGTACTTATTGATGGAGGTCATGATTTTGCCCAGTAAATTAAAGGCATCTGGGAGTTGGGTGATGGCACACACCTGTAATCCCAGCACTTGGAAGGCTGAGGCAGGGGGATTACCATCACTTGAGACCAGCCTGAACTACACAGTGAGACCCTGTCTTGAAAAAATCAAAACCAAACTAACAGGGGCTGGGGATTTAGCTCAGTGGTGCCACCACATACCCTGAAAGCCTAAGGTCCTGAGTTTGATCCCCGGCTTAAAAAAAAAAAAAAAAAAATCCAAACCAACAACAGCAGCAACAAAGGTGTCTGAGGGAAAATAGGAATACATCTCTCTGAAGTGAATCACTGGTCCTCTTGTGATTATCCTTTTATTTCCTTTAAAAGTAAACAATTTTTGGGTGCAGGGATTTAGATCAGTAGTTCTGCTGCCTGCCTCCCAAGTGCAAGGTCCTGAGTCTGATCCCCGGTAACCCCCAACCAAAAAGTGAAAATTTTAGCCCAATGTTCCTGTGCCCTGCAGTATCTGAAAGCACATTTCTAGTAAAGATTTTGGTGAAGTTCAAGCTAGACCTTGGGTGATTCCCCTTTTAATTTGTCTTATTTTAGGTTGGAGAGCCTTGGGTTTGCATTATATAGATACAGTTTGATCAGCCTGTGCATTCTCATGATTCAGAGCATGGATCTCAGAGATAAGGGCATTTTGCCAGTTAAGATGATATTTTTGAATAGCTTCTCTCTATTTCTCATGAACAAATTAGCAAAGTGAGTACTTAAAGGAGACACCATGTGGTCATCTAGAGTTGTACCCAGGATACACTTCCAGGCGTCTTCTAAGTGATGCCTACAGTTAGAAACCAGTTCTTCTCTTTGGTTTCTGCTCTCTCAAATCTTTGACCCATCTATTTTTGTCGAGAAGACTCTAGGGAGGAGACCCATGAGCTTTTCTCCAATTTCCTCAGCTCTGTGATAAGTCTTAGGTGTATTTTGATTTCACTGTAAACTTTCGGTGATGCGGACCCATTTGATCTCTCAA